CATTGCATCCATAACATTTCCATGCATTTGATCAAAATCAATCCATACACGATAACCATATTTAATCAATTCATCATAAATTTGTTTACAAAGTATTTTATCTTTATGTGAATAACTAATCATAATATCAAATGTTTTTCCATCTTTGATGTCTAATGCTAGATGATTTTCATGATTAATATCAAGATTCCAAAGAATTCCATGAATCATTTTACACATTTGTTGATTATCACATTCTTTGGTTAGATGAGTTAATTTAGACATAAATGCTGAATTAGAACGAAGTTGTTGTTGAATATCTTGATTAAATGATAGTGCCCATATGATATCGAAAGTAATTAGATATTGATCGCACATTTCGATAAGAAGATGTATTTTATTTGATTCCATTGTTTTTTGTGGAATAAATTCGTTCTTTGATAACGTGAGAAAAGCTGAAAGAACAGTAATATTAACAATAATGACCCAGATAAGCAAAAAATGCGTGGGGACATCGTCCAAGACTAGTCTAAAATGTTCTTCAACTACATTCGGACTAGTCCGACAAGTTTCTGCGTCCGTCGTGCCTCTAGTCCGTGTTGTCTACCGATTCGGCTCACACTAGTCAGAAGAACACAATAGCGAGAAAAAAAATGAGACGGAGTATGCATATTCGAACATTTGACCCGACAGTATTCGAAATCGACATTGGACGGTCTTTCTGAGAGGTGTCTTTTTAAACAGTTTAAACAACCGAATAGTGCTTGTTGATTGAATGTGTAACTGAAATTAACTGCAAGAAAGCAACATATTTAACAAATTCATGCTGTTCTGTATTTTATTATAGTCCGTGTTGAGATTTGCAATTTTATTTGCTTCATATCAAAGAGTTTATGGAATACCTTTCTCGAGAGTAAAAACTTTTATTTATTCATATTAAAAGTATAAATCTATATCGAAGCACAAACATACATAAAAATACTATTTATTCCGATCATTTCCCAACAAAAATTGCCTGTTAATATTATATAAAATTTATTAGGGTGTAAAATGAGTTAGAAATAATATTTCGTACGTGTTTATGCTATATTTACATTTCAGTCTAAATACGGATTCTCTTGATTAATTTGAAAATATGTCAATTACGTAGTTTCAGTTTAAATTGCGAAATTTTAAAATTGAAATTAACTTCAGCGATGAAGTTATTAATTTTGTGTTTAACTTTTACGATGAAAAATAAAATTTCTAGATGTCAGTGATGAGAAAAAGATTAAATTAGTTCTATTCAATTTAATGTAACTGATTCGATACTTTATGATAAAAAGTTTTGTGCATAGTGGAATTTGAAAAACTGTGAGTAAAATTGTATTCACTAGCACCTTAGAATGTTTGTAGACATGAAAAATTTGATTACTTTATCGCATGATTCAATCGATTAGGCATTTGGTAAGTGACTTATTGTGTGCTCGGTCGAATCTAATATTTCTCATTATTCTTCTATCATTTATAGTAGTGCAGATCCAAACACTAAAAGACTTGTCCTTTACTTGCCTGAAGATAGGTCTTTTGAATATACATTTCAGAAAAGGAAGATCGAACAGTAGTTTACTCTACACTGAAAGTCTTTAGATAGATTTTTGTTGAGACTGATTGTAAACAAGTCACGAGAAAGCATTCGCAGACAATATGTTACTTTGGATCTCATTTATTTACTAATGATTAGAAGAAAGAGCCAATTGGGTTCAAAAAACTAGTTTGAAAAATAAATTTCCGAACTTTTAGATATTGCACATTAAATATGAGTTTTTCATAATTGTCACAGTCTTTAGCCTTCGATTCGAGTTTGCTAACTTCTAATTCTTCTAACAAATTATAGCTTATTCTTAACATCAAAAGTAAAATATGATCTAATTTATTGAAGAGAATTCTATTTATGGTACACAGTTACCTCGTAACAATAATGAAATCGATATATGTTTATAGGTTTTTGATGGTTGTTGCCAAGCTTGTTCTAACATATAGAAGTAAGAATCACCCATAGTATCAGTAAATTTCAATTCTTTTAATTTTTCATCAGTAAGAAGTTCACCTAATATACTGTATACATAAAATAAATGTTGATAAGATGTTGATTTGTTCATAACTCTTAATAATAATATATCTGGTAGTTGTGTCATTGATCGAAAATACCAATTTATATTTTGTGTTTGTACTATATTCATTAAAAAGAATAAAATACTATCAAGTAACATTGTTTCATCATCTGAGAGTGTAATTTTGATTTCTTTACCAAATGATTCATATGAAATAATACGAATTAATGCTTCGACATATTCAATTAATATTTGTTCATTAGGAAAAAGTATTTTATTTATTTCATCTTCTTTTTTATTAAAACAACAGCATGCACATATCAATCGAGTAAGATGTGTTATACAAGTTAATAATTCTTTATTCCAAAATTGAATAGTATAACTATGAATTTGCATTATTTGTAAGTAATCATTGCTAAATTTCAAAAGAATTTCATTAGTTATAAAAAGAAAATTTTGAGATATAGTATAAATATAAGGAGTTAAAGAAAATGAACATGTTTTTATATAAAAGAGTTGTTTTGGAGTAAATATTGATGATGATAATTCTGCTTGTCGAAGTTGAATTAGATATGATTTAAATAATTCACTCATCACTAAATTTTCTCCAAAATATTGATTAATATGAATAATAATAGAAGAATGACTTAATTGTGGATATTCTTGAACAAGAAATGAAAGATTATCAAACCAAAGACTAGCAAGAGCGATAAATGGATTATGATCATTTTTACATTTTTCCACTTGTTCGAATATAGGATTAATTTGATCGATGGTTTCAGGAATAAGAAGAGAAAATTTGATATTATCCTCGATATTATTATCAATAAAAATTATTTGTTTATTAAATAATCCTAAAGCATGTAATATTTCTTGATAATCTGTTCGATTAATACATTGACAAGGTTCTTGACTTAGTTTTTGCCATGCCCATCGTTCAAGAATAAGTAATGATTCAAATACTTGGGATATAAATAATGCTAGTGAATCATCAGTTTGTTGTTGAAGTATAAATATTATTTGAGGAAGAACATCAAACGATGAGGGAGACACGTTGAGTGTAGCAACAAGTTGCTCAAACTTGACTTTCATTCTTCTAGTATGTGCACTTTTTTATTGGTTCTTATTGAATGTGTTATAACCCGACAAATATAATGTGATTGTAAGAACGTATACTAATAGACTTTATTCTCCATCTATTATACTCGACTATTTTTCATTTCTGTCGATCTATACTTAATACCAATGGGAGCGAAAATGTCGTATTCTTTTCTTTTTAATACTATGCTGTCACACTATTCTTTTTGTATGGCTTTTGCATAAAAGCAAAGGAGAATAATTCTAGGTTGCAAATACAGGATTAGTTTTAGAAGTAAACCACGACTTGTGTAAAAATACCGGTTATTAATCACTTACAATGAGTGGTATTTGGCACATAGAAACCGAAAAACCCTTTATTACCTGTGAAGAGTACCATTTTCTCGTTTTTCATAGATTAAAAATTTTGGTAGCCTAGTTCATATATTTGTGCTCACTCAGTAAAAAAATGAACACAAAACCTAAAACAAAAATAGATGTCAATGAAAAGATGGATATTTAGAGATTTATTTACACAGTTCTCGAAAGGATGTCTGAGACTATAAAAACTTGGTTGTTAAGATGATATTTATCTTCAATGTATCTTGTATTCTGTGTGGACAGATGAATAAACTTAACAATTTATAAATGTTTTGTTAAATGTATATCATTAAAAAGTATTTGTTCCTAATAGCAGGCAGTCTGAGAATTTTTAGACAAAATATTGCTTCATCTCTCGACCGATGTCGTGTTCTTTTCGTATCATCTTTGAATTTCTCTTTTTCAAAGGTGAAAAGTACTATTCCGTGTTGTTTGGTTGCAACATCTTTTGAAAAATTCTTAAATCGACACCTATACAATAGACTACTTTCTTATACGTTCTATTAGCGATCTTTTTGCGCATCATACAGAACGACATTATACTCCACAAAGTGCGATGGAAACCGAGGATCTTGCAGCAATCCTCCAGACATAACCAAGTTGATTTTAATAAGAATCTTTATTCTAGACACTTTTTGCGCACTAGAAGTCGTTCAAACTTTATCTTTTCAGTTTTTCAGAGATGTGCCTATTACTGTTCATCAACAAATCGGACAAAAATTTTGAACCTTAATTTGAGAAAGAAAATGATCGAAATCGTATTTTGAATTTGAGATTTTAAAGCCTCTGTTGCAAATTTTAATAAGTGAAAAAATAAAGAAGCATTTTGTTATAAAACTTACGAATCACTCGTTATCTCTTCAATTATTACGACAAATGTAATGAAAACAGTAAAATAAGATCCCTAATGATATTAACGTACGTTTAGATATCACACGTCTTGCATGAGCACATCCATTCACTTGACTGAATGTCGACTACACTCCAATATTGTCACTCTAAATACCATATCTATAATTATGTATCGTCGTCACCTGTTACTACTTCATTGCAGTATGATATGATATATTTTCAATTTAGAAAAAAAAAAGAATATTTAAATTATGTCATTATAACGAATGAAAACAGGATAACTCTATTAATGATATAATTTCATTTATTCGTCGATGTGAATCTTCTTGAAATTAATGCAAAACTTGTTTTGATTGGCCTTTCCTCATCTGCAATACAACTCAGTACTTTCTTATTCCATGATGCTACAGTATGAATATGAACTTCATATAGATCATACATCATTTCATCAGCAGTATAAGAAAAATTATTAACTTTTGAAGCTATGTATGAATAGAAATAAAATGAATATGCTTTAGTGTAAAATAACAATTTAGATATGAGCACTGATTGTGCTAAATGTGGTTGTCAAAGTTGAGTGAGATATACATAAGTTATATTCCTTGTTTATGACATATCTATGCATGATATACACACACAGATTTGATCGATAAAAGATAATATGAATTACAATATAATATAAGTTAAATAGTTTGTTGTTTTTTATCGCTTGAATGCATACAAATATAATTTAATTTTTATCTGATTATGCATTATATTTTTTTAATTTGTTAATCAGCCATTTAATCAACCATTTGATAGGTATTTCGACGCGTTTGATTTCAGCTTGCGATGAGCAATATCGAATCATCGAATGCTTACTTTCCGATAGGTCAAGAACTCAGCGTTAGGTCGTGCTGATTTTGAGTTTCCGATAAGATCGAAATCAGATACAACTAAACAAGAACTTTATTCGATTGATCCTTCATTCTCGATTCGTCGAAATCTATCGAATAAACGAGAAGTAGGAGAAGATTCAAATATGCATATTTACGATTCAATACTTTGATGATTGCATTTTCCATATTAATATTTGCTACTAAATTGAAGAAGTTTTTTAAAAAATTGTTTGCATTTCTCCATTGAAAGAAAAAGCTTTGCTAATAAAATTTCAAATGTTGTATAAGAAGATTATTTTGATAAATAGGATATTTGATGATCAATTGGTTTGTGTGATAAAACAAAAAATTAATGTTAATAGATGTTTTTGAAATGCTTAAAACGATAAAATTTGCTATGACAATTGCTATCATATATGTCTTTTTTGTTTGGTTAAATATACTCATACTCATATGACTTTCAATTATTTATTATTTTGCATCTATAATAAACAACATACATCCTATATTCTACCTATAAGGTATTCATCATGCTTAAGATTGATTTAGAATAAACGAAGATTTATTTAAAAAACCAGCAACAAAAGTACGAACAATATTCGATATATTAAATCATCTGTGTGATTCTGTTCAATGTAAACATCCATTCATAACTTCACATTCTTGTTGCTCTCGTTTCATTATGAATCGAACAAGAAATTAGAGAACCATTTTGTTCAGTGTTTACATCTATTGACTGAATAAGTCGTTTTTGTTGATCCATTAACGATTGAAAACAGGATAACTCTATTAATGATATACTTTCATTTATTCTTCGATGTGACTCTTCTTGAAATAAATTCAAAATTTGTTGTATTGGACAATGTTTTATATATTTGTTCAAGTAGATTAAACTGCGACCATCACAATTCGTAAGAATACGAGACATTTGAACAAGATTATGTTCTAATAACCAATTCTGTACTTGTGTTTGTGTCCATTCAAGAATATTCTGAGAATATGTCGGTGATACTGATCTCTTTGGTGAAGACACAGATAGAGTAGGAGGTATAGCAGCAATATCTTCTTTAGGTCGAACAGGCACAACATTAATCTTAGACATATCTTCCACTTTCAGTTCGTTAAATAGCTTTACCATCGCTTCAGGAAATTCGTATTTATTGAAATCTATATAAAGTAATGAACCAATAAGAAATGAAAGCCATCCATCAGGTCTATAATGTTTTTGTAAAATAACGGGGACAATTTTACGTTGCTGTCGGAATGCATATTGTGCTTCAGCACGACAATAATTACTTTTTCGATATTGTTCACTCATACAAATAATTATTGTATGTGATCGTTCAATAGCTTGTGCCATTGCATCCATAACATTTCCATGCATTTGATTAAAATCAATCCATATACGATAACCACAATTAATTAATTCATCATAGATTTGTTTACAAAGCACTTTTTCTTCATGTGAATAACTAATCATAATATCAAATAATTCTTCATCTTTAATTACTATTGTTGAACCAATTTCACGATTTAATTCAAGATTCCAAAGAATTCCATGTATATTTTTTTTCATTTGGTCATCTTTACTTTCTTTGGCTAGAAGAGTTAATTTAGACATAAATGCTGAATTAGAACGAAGTTGTTGTTGAATATCTTGATTAAATGAAAGCGCCCATATAATATCATATACAATTGGATATTTATCACACATATCGATAAAAAGTAATATTTTATTTAATTCAGCTGTCCTTCGTTGGATGTAATCGTTTTTTGATAAATTTGAAAATCCTGAAAAAAAACTATGTTTTTATTTTATTTAATAAAAATATTGTTTCTTCTTTTAGTCTTCTTGTTCAGTTAGAATATGTTATATACTATCAAACAATTAATCTAGCGAGCAAAGGTTCCCAACTAATTCATCATTTTTGACTTGATACTATAAATATCATATATAGGATCCTAATGCGTTATGAATATTTTGACAAGAGTTGAGGATCCTTAGCTTATTGCTATTGAGATAGTGCATTTTTTTAGTAGAATGTCATGATCTTCCTAAAGAATAATAGGAAAATTCGTGTTTGAATTTCGACTTGAAACTTTCTATACAAACAAGTCTTATCGACAACATTTTATTTCGAAAGTTTTAGATACAGCTTTAGTGAAGTCCGATAAACCTGACATTCTTAGATTAAGATAGAAGCAAATTAAAATGCTTGAAATTTTCACAATAAACTATTCTCGTTAAAAAACTGCCTTTATGCAAAGTTGTGAGGCGAAATTCGAAAATGAATTTTCCTAGTGTTTCTGAGTAACTTCAGCATTATGCTAAAAAGTACAGTATCTCTGTAGCAATAAGCTAAGAGCCCGAATTATTTTAAGAATATGCATAGCTCATTAGAATCTACATAATACGCATCGTCTAAAATTCAACGTAATTAATCATCTTGAGAAACTTCTCCTGTAAGAATGGAAACAAACGTACTGATAATTTTTTTCTTAATAAACTTACCTCGTAAGAAATAATAAATCGGCATTTGTTTGTACCTCTTCTCAGGATTCTGCCATGCCTTTTCAAACATTTCAAAAAAATAAACTCTTATATTATCCGGAAATTTCAATTTTTTTAAATCTTCATCAGTAAGAATTTCAGTTAATATTCCATAAGCACACAAACATATTTCATTATTTATAGATGATTCAGCTATTTTCAAAAGTATATCTGGTAATTGATTTATCGAACGAAAGAACCAATTTATATTTTGTGTTTGTGCTATATGCATTAAAAAAATCATAACAGAATCCAGTAAAATAGTTTCATTATTAATCCATTGTGACATAATACGTCCACACTGTGCTTCATAATCAGTAATATGAATCATTGCTTGTATATATTCACATAATATTTTTTCTGTTGATAAAAGTATTTTAAATTTTGTTCCTATTTCTCCATTCCACCACAGAAATGCACGCATAAAACCAATTAACTGAGTCATACAACTAAGTAATTCTGTACTCCATAACTCAATCGTATAACTTTGAATTTGTATTATTTGTAAATAATCATTACCAATATTTTGAAGAATTTGATCAGGAGTATAATCAAAACTTGAAGGATTGCTATGAAAGTAGACATGCAAAGAAAATGGACATGTTCGCATATAGAAAAGTTGTTTAGCAGTAAATAGTGATTGTAATAATGGTGATTGTCGTAGTTGACCTAGATAAAATTTAAATTGTTCACTAAGAATAAAATGACCTGCCACATATTGATTCATTTGAATTATAATAGGTGAATGACCTAATTGAGGATATTCATGTATAAAAAATGAAAGATTATCAAACCAGAGACTAGCAAAAGTAATTACTGGATCATTATCATCAATACTTTGTTCGATTTGTTTGAATATACTATTAATCTGATCAATCGTATCAGGCATAAGAAGGGATATTATAATTTCATCTTTAATATTATCTTGATTAAAAATCATATTTTTGTTGAATGAACCAAGTGTTTGAAAAAATTCTGAATAGTTTGAGTCATTAAACCATTCACGAGAATCTTCACCAAGTAATTGCCATACCTTGTGTTCCAAGGTAAATAACGATTGATATTCTTGTGAAATGAATGATGGTAATACTTCATCAGTTTTTGATTGAAGAAGCAATGTTATTTGTTGAAGAATATCAGCAGATAAAGAAGATATGTTTAATGCAACAACTAGTTGCTCTAAATTAGCTTCCATATCTTTTTTATTTAACCTTGCTCTGTTTTTATGTTTGCCTAATTATACTATCGTAAATTATATACAGAAAATACTTTTCGATCGAACGAACACACACGAATGAATATTATTATATTTGTTTTTTACCTTATTATTCATTTCTATACCACCTACTGGTATACATCTGAGCCTTAATGACTTGGTTTTATTCTTTTCTTTTTTTATTGAGATGATAAATATAGCTAAGCTAGTTATATGACTCGTGTAACTATGTCATAATGAATAAATGTCATATATACAAAGAGCAGCAAGTAACTTCGCTATTTGATTATTCTCTAGGATATTATCGATCAAAAAAAACTTTTACGAAACATGTCAATGTATGAAAGCTTGTATGACTTATGTAAATCATTGTTTTCGATTATTTTCATAAAATAAAACTAAACAAATTTCATTTATCTAAAAAAAATCAAATAACAACATTCATAAAGAAACTAATGGATTATTCAATCATTGTTTTCTTCTTATGATGTATATTCATTTTGCAGTATATATAAATTTTAATTAGGCTAATGCTTCAAGACTATAAGAAAATTCATTTACATCTATTACACATATCTCAGAAGTTTTAAAACTATTAATATATCCATCGCTCTTGTATTCAACAAAAGTCAACTCGTTGCAATTTTTTAACTATACCTACTTCGTACTAAAGAATTATGAAGTTTCATGTCTATAGTTTTTACTAATAATGAAAAATTATAACAACATTATCTTATACTATTTTAGTAATATTCCAATAACTTAAATTGAAATATCGAGAGAGAAATACGATAATATTAAGTAACTGAAAAAAACAATATTAACAAGGAATAGAAAAGATTAAGTATTTTTTAATATCCATCAATGATAGATAAAATTAGTAATCAATTATGATGGTCATCAAATACACGACCATGGTCTTAGTTTTCAGTACCTACTTGTAATTTAAGTCTGTATGAAAGATATTACTTTATTTAATCTGACAAAAAATGAAACAATATATAAGTAAGGAATATTATATTTGATATATACAATATATATTGTATATTTCATTATGATTAATACTATTTATCGTATTGAACTATTCGGAAAAAAAATGCATTATATAAATTCAATGTTTGCTTTTAACAAAGAGCAACAATATTTCATTATATGCACTGAAGTCGATATATTTATATATCTATATGTAAATAAGAAATGATATAGAACAAGCAAAACATTCGTAAAAAAAAAAAGTTCAATGTCTATTGACTAGCTCGTTGATGCTCGTTTTATTGTTGGTATCTGTGATTGTTGTTGTTGTAGTTGAGTACATTCAGCACAAAACCATTTTCCTTTCGGTGGTGTTACAATACCTACACATGGATAATGAAACCATTCCCGACGACATGTTGGATTATCACATGCAATCATATCACCATAACTCATTTCATTACAAAAACAATAACGACGTTCATCAATAGCTTGTCCATGAAAATTTGATAGAACATTTGTTGAATCAAAACCACCATTTGTTTCATCATCAAATAAATTTGGTGATGCTGTTTGATTATTTAATTGAAAATAATCTGTTGTTGTTGGTATTGTTGTTGTATTATTTGATTGTAAATTTGATGCTGATGATGATTCATCACTATCACTTGGTGGTAATATATGATGAAGTGAATGTGATTGATATGATTCATTAAGAAATGGATTACGTGTTATACTTCGTTTTCGATGTTTACCAATATTATTTGTTGACGATATACCTTGTAAACGTTTTCGACCACGTGATGATGTTGATGGATTTGAAAGAATACGTTGTGGATTTTGTTTTCGAGTAAAAGATGAAGAAGAATTTGATGGATGTAAACCTAAAGAGAACAAGGAAAAAAAAAACATCCATCGAAAATTTTGTTCTTGTCTTATTTATATATACATATATTACCGGTTGATAAACGACGGGATTGAGATGACATTAAATAACTTAATGTTGCTTGATTTGTATAATCATCTGTTAATGTACTTGACATTGTTATATCATCTAATGAATCTAATAATGGTTCCATATCTAATACAGATGGATCGAAATTACCTGAAATAGAAGAAAAAAAAACAAATAATCATTTTTTTAATCATATTTTATTGTTAATAAATAGATAGAATAAGTTTTAAAAAAATTGAAGTTTAATTCACAAAATGATCTCTTCGAGTGACAAATCATACTTCGACAAAGATAATATTCATTTGATGAGTGTTAGAGAATAAATTTTATGAACAAAACTCACTTTTACAGATGAAAAAATTTCAAATATTCAATATTTTAGGATAGAAAATATTAGTAAAGGGACATTTTACCCAATAAATGAATGCCATTAAGAACTTTGTTCGTGCAAAGTTTAAAGTCATTGAAAGAAAAAAGGCTCGAAAAATCAGACCATTCTAGACCTTCCTATCAATTACTAGCACTCATCAAATGAGCATTGTCTCGGTTAGAAAAACGATTTGACATCTGAAGAAGTATCCTCGTCAAAATATTAATTCATCATCATCTTCGTTCATTGAAAATAGAATTGATTAAATTCAACATACTATACATTAGTGATCTAAGAGAAGAAAAATGTTGTACTCATATAATTTAAAATTTAGAAAGTATGAATACTTACAAATAATGAACAAGTCAGAATTCATTGGAACTAATTGATGTAACTCTATCAATTTTGTCGGAAAATCTAATTGGCAAAGTCTGAATCTAGAAGTTCCGATACCATGAACTAAGGTTATACATAGATGGCGAAGTCACGAGATTTAAAACGTACGCTAGAATAACTCTTTCAGGACACTATTCTTTTTTTTTTCAACAGAATTAATTTTCAATTCTAATCAATGCTATTAATCTTGTACGTCGCGTATATAAGCCAGTCGTAACAGATCATCGAGCGCCATCAGTTAGATCAATAAGAAGTAGTAAGCATCAATAGATCTAAACTGTTCCGGAACAGGAGACGCATATAAATGTTTCCCGTTCTCAAAAGTTTAAGATATTGTTGACTTAAGCATACGTTTTTCATACTATCAGATTGATAGATTTATGGAGTACATCAAGTTTGAGGAAAGACTAACAATATAAAATGTAAGTTCGAAATACGAGACTACCCATTTGCATGATACAAAAAGATTTTCAAACTTCTTCTCTACTATTAACTTTTTGATATGCTTTTTTTGTCATTTGAAATAGTTAAAAATCGATGATTTGAATTACTTACTATTATCGCCTATTGTATTATCATATTCATTGAAACCTTCACTAGCAAAACCTAAAAAAAAAAAATAAATTGTAATTAAATTATTTAAAATAAACATACGTTTTTCTAATGTTTCTGTTATTCCTGAATAATCAGCTTCAAGTTCCATTTTAAATTTATTTAAATCATTTTCAAGTTTTTTATAATAACGTTCAACAATATCATGAGATTCATTAGCTAAATTAATTTTAGTTGTTGTAGCTTTTATTAATTGTTGATGTCTTTCAACAAGTTTATCATATTCAACTTGTTTTTCTTGTTGTGCAGCTAATTGTTCAGCTGTTAATTGTTGTTCATTTGTATTAATTGAATCAATTGTTGATTCTTCATTGGTATTTGTTGTTGTTGTTGTTGTGATTGAACGATGTGTATTTATTTTACATCGTGTTGGTGAAAGTGAAGATTGTTGTTGATATTGACGATAATTGCAAAGAAATTTTGATGTATCATCTTCTAATTGTGCAAATTCAGCTTGAATTTTTAAATCATTTTCACGCATTAATGTTAATTTTTCACGCATAATTTCAGGTAATGGATCAAGCACTAAAATAAAAATAAAAAAATGAATGAATGAATTATAGGAAGAAAAAAAAAACTTACATTCTAGATAATCTTCTAGATAATGCATATTTGAAAAAACAAATAGCTAATCTAAAATTATATTTTAATGTCTAAAGTAACAATTATATTGATTGATTATTTAAAATTAATTTTATTCTAAACGTTCTATGCATATAGATACATCCTTTCTAACTGATTCATTCTGTCTGTATATACCTATTTTTGTATGAATCATTAATCGATATATAGAATATTTAATAATGCTGATTAATGAATCGTTTACTCAGCAAGTTCAATATCAATTATTATCCCTCAAAAAAAATGGGTACATACGACTTTTTTTTCTACAAAACCAAATAAACCACATTATAATGCACGAAAAAAAAGGAAAAATGACATGATCGTAAGATGCCAAAGACGATAGAAAATAATTTTCATTGGTCAAATTTTCCGCCAATCATAATGATCTTTACGACACCATCTATCTGCTTATATTTTAATATAAAGTTCGATTTTTTTTTCATAATTAATTTTTAAAACATTTGGAAATAATAATTTTATTATAAATTATTGAATAATAAATAGCGACATAAATCTGATTCGTTCAATATTATCAACACATCTTGTCGATACGATATAGGTAGGTAGAAGACAGCACGCAATTAGAAATGATGACATTAACCATAATTTGTTGTAATGTCCGGCAACATCATCGTCATGATCATTCAATCAATCAATCATTGATTGAAAACATCTTGTTTATCAAATAAGGTTATGTATGAACATATTCACAGATCATTGTTCATACATCAGGTAATAAAGGATATTTAGATTCATTATTATGGTCATTCGGTGGTTCACCTGATCATGTGTTTGCACAACGTGGTTTTGAATTATATAAATAAATTTGTGCTGTTTGATATTTAACTGAAGTCATACATACCAGAGAAGAAGTAAAAGTATTTCCTGTTCAAAGATCGAAAAAAAAACTTACGGATTTTATGTCGTCAACATATTCTAATGATAATGCTAGACGATGTTTTGTTTTTCTAGATTTAAGCATAAAAGAATAATTTTTAACTGAATTTTAGGCAACTAGAGAATCCAATGAAGGCAATCTACTACCTGATCTTTTACTTATCCTGCTTGAGGACTCGAGACAGTTTTTTTATATAGTTTTGTCTATAGATGATTTAGAACTAGGTTCGAAACAAAACAAAATCTTAGTCAATTAACTATTTACTTTTATCTCATTTAGTTATTGATGCTACTAGATAGAACTATTACCAACTTGAATAAAAGAGTTTGAAGACGATTGTATCTAAATATTGATTTTATTAAGATTAACTAGCTAATGTAATAGGAGAACTAGAAGAAATATTTTTTCTTAATTGGATTGGAAGTTTTTTTCTTTTTAACAATAAGTACATTTAATAGGACAAACAGTTTTTTGGCGAAATAAAATATTTCTTTATCAAATTGCATTCAATCTACGAAAAACTTCAATGTGTGGAAAACTAGAAATTCTATAAGAATGACTAAATATTTCTCCTAATGGTAAATTCCTTTAGTTTCTGAAACCTTTTTCGTAATTCATTAAAGTTATTACTGTTAAGAAACTATCACAAAAATATAAGCTTGTTGCCTTTCACTTTATAAATAATATGCGTAAATATTTGAGATAAAATATTTAGTGATTGTATTAACATAAATAAAGTAATAATCCAGTCTATATTAAATTAACTCATTACCTGCTGAGGCTCGCTTAATAGAGTTGCCGTTGAATCATCCATAAGAATAACTTATACACGTGCTATTCATGACCCAGTATTGTTAAATTTGGACAAATTCATTACACTGTGAGGAAGCAGAATGGGTCAAAAAATGACTCGTGTGTCTTGAATGACATAAAAATTTAATTCTTTTGTTTTTTTGCGCAGTTATATTCTTATTTTATTTGTATAAGCATGGAAACCTATTAACTATGGATTTCTTTTTTTTTTGAATGATAAATCATTGTGGAAAATGATATATAGTTAGACATCTGCAAAAGCAGTTATTTTTAGATTGAAATTATATCTTTCATTTTGTTTTTTTATTGATAACAAGTTATTCAAATATTCTAGAAATAGATTATGCCAGTAGTTGTACACATCAACATTAGAATAATCGGTCTATGTAAATAAATAACAAATACCGCTTTTGTATTCAAAAAATTTTAGCGAAGGAATAAAAATGATGATTTAAATAAGAAATGATTTGTAAAGATTATTACAAACAATTGTGTCTTATTTTAATTTTAGATAAAAGAAACAAAAAAGGATGCCATGGTTTTGGCCATTTAAACGACATGAAGAAACAGATGGATTAAATCGTTCGTCATTAATAGATGGTATTGATGATGATGCATTATTATTAATCTTTCTCATTGTTTGTTTAATTGGTCTTTGGATTTATTATACAAGGTAAATTTTATTTTTATTTGATTATTTATATTTATATTTATTTATTTAAATAGACGTCATCGTAGTACAACAATTCATCCAGATAATCAACAAGATATCGAATTATTACGTCAACGAGCTCATGATCAAGGAGATACAACTAGTAGAACACAATCTTCTTCACATGTTGGTCGATCTCGACAAGATACATGTCCAATTTGTCTTGAAGAACCATCAGTATTAAGTGTTGAAACTAATTGTGGACATGTATTTTGTGGTTTGTTATTTATGAATTAAAAACCAAAATTTTAATTTAATTGTTTTTTTTTGTATTTTTGACAAAATTTTAGGTAAATGTATTGTTACATTTTGGAAATTTCAATCGAATTGGATGAGTGGATTGAAATGTCCTGTATGCCGACAACAAGTAAGTTTCTATTGTTTAGATTACGGCACTTGTTTTTTCTTTCAATGTGTTGTATCAGAATGCGAGTAATATTTTTGTAGTTTATTAACATCGATAGAATTCAGTTGATATTTAAATTAAATTTAATATATATACATATATATAAATGATTTCTAGGTAACAGTACTTTTAACATGTTTTACTGCTGAAGAACGAGCAGCACCAGATAGTAGTGATCGTCAAATGGTTGTTAATGGTGTTAAAGATTTTAATCGACGATTTTCGAATGTTCCACGAACAGTAAAATTTTCTTAATATTTATTTATTTCAAAACTTTAATATTGTTCTATTTATTTTAGTGGCTTGAATATTTCTATGATATTCCAGTTTTAATTCCTTATATAATTCGTCAATTATTTACAACTGAAAGTCTTGCATGGACATATCGTTTACGAACAATTATTGTATTTATTTCAGTAATTGCATATGTTATATCACCATTTGATATATTACCAGAAAGTATTCTTGGTATATTTGGTTTATTAGACGATTTTTTTGTTGTTCTTTGTTCAGCACTCTATGTTATTATTGCTTTTCGAGAAAATTTGTCTCGTGGATAAATCAATTGTTTTGTTTAGAACAAAGACATTTTTTTTCTTTTGTTTTTTTGTATCTCACTTTTTTTTAGTTTCTAGACAAGATTTATACTAAATGACATTGACATTAAATGATATTATTCAAAAACCAGAGCTGATTACTAGTTCAGAGTTTTAGAAAGTATACAAGAAGGATGTCGAAAAAAAAAAAGATAATTTGTTTTTCTTTTTAGAATAAAATTAAGATAAAATTTTTGTAAAACAACAGACAATTGAATATTTTACATATTGAAATTTAGAATAAAGTTTTTTTAGTTTGAATGTATCAGAGATGGACCAAATCGCACCGCGCCACTGCTCGCGCCTAGGCGCTACGCACATCTCTCTTTCTCTTTGCTCTACCAATCAGTTTCTCAAACTCCACCGAATACCGGGATATTCTAAGCATGCGCTCATCGAAGCTCAGACTAGTGTAGCGTAGGCGTGAGCAACGGCTCGGGGAGGCGCGGTGCGACTTTGTCCATCTCTGGAATATATAATACCATTTGAAATTACTTATATATATTTTTTTTGTTTATTAAGCAGTAACATAAAATGAACAATAAGCATGTCTCTAAATACAATATCATTCATACATTTGTATACTGTTAACTTTGTTCGAAGGACGCCATGTCCGTATGAATCCTTTATCTCAAATCAACCAACATATTGTCTTTCGTCGATTGTTATCTACTGATGAAAAAATTTTGACGACATTTCTCGAAAGTCTTAGTCAACGTACACGTCATTATTGTGTTTATCCAAGTTATGATAAAAAAACAGCAGAATTATTTTGTAATGAAGAAATAAATAGAAATAATGATAAATTACGATTAATTGCTTTGATTAATAAAAATACAATAGTAGCTTTATTTAATATAACATTATCTATTCGTAATGATGAATATGAACGTTTTCGTATTAATCATAAGATTGAATTGAATAATAATAATACGGCACGATTAAGTCCATGTATTACTGATAATTATCAAAATAAATATCTTGGTAATTATTTAATGGAAAAAGTAATCGATATTATACGACAAATGGATAAACGTTATGTGATTCTATCTGGTGGTGTACTTGTAGAAAATACTCGAGCTATTCATTTTTTTGAAAGAAATAAATTTAGATTATTTTCAACAACTTTTTTAAGTCATGATGGATATGAATGTAAAGATGGTCTTATTGAAATTGACTCACAATAAAAATTTGCATTCTTTGATGTTTATTATGATAAATAAAAAGAATTTATTTTTCTCGACAAAAAAAAAGTAGATAACCGGAATATTTGATTAAAATCTAGTAGAAATTACTCATTATTGAATTAATACTTACATATATATTTGTTATTTTACTTTGTAACAATGCTTGTGGGGTATTGCGAATTTAGGAGTCTAAATTGAACGACGTATATTTTATTACTTACTGATAATGGCTTAGTTGAAATAAAAAAAAATATATTGTAGTACTTGTAGTATATATTGAATTAAGCAGTAGTACATATTTACCAAAAATAATATTGAAGATAATAGAAGCTGGTGTATATAGGAAATGTATTCTTTTATAAAATAGTCACAAAGAAATAATGTAGCATTCATCGAAAATTAGATTTAGTGATTGTTTCTATCGAAATAACTTGTCCTTTTTGCAGTTATTTTAGCTGAATAAAAATGATATTCATCATGTATTTTAAAAATAATATGTTCCAACTTTGAGACTGTCCAGTAATAAATAATTGTTTGATGAAATACTTATCATTTGGTGTCATACACTTGCTGCTTTATTTCATCTTTGTAGTGTTCTTTTTAAGAGATCTAGCATATTGATCAGGAATGATTTTTAAGCAATTATAAGTGATTCGAACAAAGAATCGTTTGTTCGATTAATCGTCTATTCTCAACTTGAGCTCAATGATTACTAAGACGATAAATGAATATTTCTGAATTATTCAACTGTAAGAAAAGTATCAGGCTTTCGAAACTATTTTTAGACATATTCTACACTGATATCAACCGTTGGGTTGTCTCTTTTTTTTCTTGTACCATTCTAATAATTCGTCTAGTTTTTTCATCAAGTTCATCTTATAAAAAAATGTCTCATACTGAAAATGATCATTTGCATATACATTTTTTTCACGTGGTAACATCTTTTAACTAATACTCTTCGAATGGGTCTTTTTTAGGAAAGTATTGTTTATATCTACTTTTACATTGAATATCAAATTTAGAAAAACTTGATTTATCTCTTCTAGTTGTACTCAAAACATATTTGTTGACATAATAATAATTACAAAAAAAATAACATCATTTATATGACGAGATACAATGAAATGCGTGGATGTGATCGAAGAGAAAACCAATATCCAAAGTCTTTCCATTAGTTATAAAGGTCGTATTTTTTGCAGTAGTTTTTATTTGCTTCATCGCGCTGTTCTTGCGCAATGACACAAATTCGGAATTCGTGATTACAATTGCAGTTTACAAAATACTCCATATCTTCTTCAAAAGGTGATAATTCAGCCTGACAAAAAGGACAATTAATAGTATCTTCTAAGTTGTCGATATTCACCCACCCATATTCCTGAATATCCAATTCATGAAAGTTTTTGTAAACTTCTAACCAATTACAACCGTTATCATGATTAAAGTAAACATCGAATTCTTCTTTGACAAACTTCTTCCATAAAGATGGTTGTGATGCTGCTAAATTCCAAAGTTTATTAACAAATAAGCAGCTGCCAAGATCACTAACATCTTCTAGATAGGATAGAATTTCCACTATAACATCCAACGGCAGTGTATAACATAAATTATCTTGATCAAATGTTGTCGAAGAATTTTTCTTTAATTTTTTGCGTTGAGGTTGTTCCATTGATCTTAAATTAAATGTTTATATTGCAAATTATAGGAAGAAAATGATCTGAATATTGATAGATATTGAAAGCAATAATTGATAAATGAATCTTTGATTCGCTTGAGTCCAGAACAGGTTGAAAAGTTCGTTTACTATCTATATAGAAAAAGAAGTTGGAAAATTCCAACTGACAATTCGTTTTTGTGCAAAATGATGGATGACTCCAACAGGTTTCGTCATTCACATACACGTTTTTCTTTTCTTCTTTCTTTCGTTCCTACATGTTGGTTTTGTTACCCTTCAGTTGTCGAATTCACCCCACTGTTTATTTTACAGTGGAAAATCATAGAAATTTCTTCTTTCCGATTTTTTCGTTCACTTGTCTACCGTTCCTCTATTTTCTTTTGTAATACGCATCATATACGGCGAGATTAGATATATGAATCTTGAACAATATATAAATCTTAGAGCATAAACAAAGTTGCAATTATTTTCTACTACATACAATGCAAATAAAACTAGTTGAGAGCGTATAAATGACGAGAGAACCTTTTTTCTCATTCACTCTTGCAAACGAAAATATTTAGCGAAGAAATTTTTCAGGGATATCAAAATCACCATGACTCGGATCAAAGCAGTGTAATATGCACCAATGACATTTCGGTGATCAATATCTTTATCTTTATAGACTCTAAATCTTGATACCCAAATGATATTCTATTGAAAGAAAAAAGAGAAACGAAAGTTGTCTTCAAGATCAATTGTACATCAAAATGAAAAGTTTCCACATGTATCGCGAGAAGATCATTGTGTTATATTACTTTCAGTTTTTTTTCTGAACTCTACGATGATGCGATTTCGGAACTGTAGATGAGAGTTTTTTTCATTTTCAACTCTCTTCTTACATCCACCGCGACATCCATACTCTTAGTCATCAGAAATCCATAGGTTGACGTTAGATCTAATAATAACCATTTATGTTATCCGTGATAAATAATGACCTTTTGATTTCACCATCTGAGTATAACACAAATGCCCTGAGAGACCTTTGCAGAAATTATTAGCCTTTTCTAGCTGATCGATAAAACGCCAAGTAAATCACATTACTAACACACTAATAAAAACATGGTCATTCAAGATTGAGTTGAATAGCCTAACCATATTGTAAACCTTTTCGTATGATGAAAATGAATAGTTTTGTACAGCTCAGCAAGAACTATAAAATGCACTACATGATATTTAGTTTAGAATGAAAAACCAGTGCAATATGAAGTGAAACACCCCTTTTCTTCTGAAAGACTTTCATACGTGGGAAAGTCACAAAAATTGAGTTTACTTTTCTATATAAGTTATCGTGCTATGATGCTGAAAATCAGATCACGATCACAATTCTCGCTTTTTTTTCTATTGAAAGAATCAAAATGTCATAATGCTACTGTTCACAAGAAAATATTTCGTAGAGAATGCTAGTATGGATGTAATGTCTATGTGAAGCAAGAGAAGATAGCATCCGTGCCTACCCGTCTACACAAACTCAAACGTGCACTAACATTCTCAGTTCTATAACAAATTACTTGGTACACAATTAGATATTTTTTGTTAGTGTCTGTTTAAAACTGAAAGAAATAGAAAGTTTCTCATTTTTGTTGTGTCGAGAATTGCTGTGGACATTGGTTTTTTAACTGTTCAATATTTTCAAGGATAACTCGTCGATGATCTTTCTTGTCGATTCCATAGTTCATAAGCCTTTCATCGTCAACTTGATTCAGAAGCCAATAGCCATCGATGCCGTGTTTCTTGAAACAATTCACATAAATCGTATATTCATCACCCAATGATCGAAGCCAATTACACACATCATCGCAAGAATTGAGCTGCTTCAGGAAATAAAGTCCTATTTAAAAAAAAAGGTGTAATAGATTGCTGAATTGTAAAAAAAGAGAAATCGGATCCAGAAAGTTAGCAGACACAACACACATATGCTTTCGAAATTTGTCCATGTACTGAGTTACACTCCTATTTCTGCCCGTCATACTTTTCTTGATCCTATATAGTTAGAACTTAAAAACTCTTACGTTGAGGCTGAAGTTTGAAATCTCCGTGTTCTAATGCCTTTCGACGAGTAGCTTCAAATGGAGCATTTGAACCTGATTTCCAAGTTTCTGATGTGTCGGCAAATGTGTGACTTCGTTGTCGAGAACCTGCTGTGGTGTCAGTAGATTGTTTCCACGTTGCGACTGATTCCGATCGTGCATATAATTCGTTTGCCGGTGTCTGCGGTTGATGGTTTCGGTTGTTTGCTGACACGGGTAACGCATTTGAATTTGTGTCGTTTTTCGAAGATGACTTATTAATAGTCACGGAAGCTATTTCTGAAGTTTTCAATCCTTGTGGCGACCAATTCGTTCCTTCATAAGCGATCCACTTGCTCAAACATTGAATAAAATTTTTAGCATATACTTCTTCTGTCCATTCTTTTGGTAGATTTTTATAACCATAATAGGCACCGGCTAATTGGCCATAGATGGCTGCTGTTGTATCAGTATCATCACCAAGATTCACAGCCGCAAGAACACCATCTCGAAAAGAGCCATTATCAGACCAAAAAGCCCATAGAGCAGCTTCTAGAGCATTGACGATGTATCCTTTACCTCGAATACCTTTATCATATCCACCTTTCTGATAAGAACCTTGAGCGATTTTTTCAATGTCGAGATGAAGCGGTTTACCACCGAACCATTGTTCATGTTTTTGGTAGAAGTTTTTGTCAAGTAGCTCCTTTCTTTCTGCACCATTGACAGCGGCCACAATTAGAGCACCATAGTAACGACAGGCATCACCAGCTTTTTCATCACCATGAGTAATCAATCCACTAAGTCCTGAATATTCGACAGCATAAGTAGGATGTTTATAAAAGAACAGTGGTACAGGTGCAAGTCGCATCAAAGCTCCATTACCAGCCACACCTTTTTCACTGCAATTCACCTCGAACTTCTTCAAGAGTTTAGGATCTGAAAGAAAATCTAATTGATTAAGAGGAATTCTATATTCTTCAGCAAATTCTGTTTGACGGCGTTCAAATTCCCTCAGCGATTGCTTTGTGGCCGCACCAATATCGAAACATCTTCCTGTAGAAGACATGTATCCGTCTCTGTACCACCATTTGTAACGAACTAGTTGATCGTAAGGGACATAATCGTGTCGAGCTATCAATGAATTTGCAAGACAAAGAGCCATAGACGTATCGTCGGTGAACTAAAACAATCATATCTTACAACTCGATTGTTATATTACTGATCTCGACGAAACAATTTTCAGACCTGACAAGCCCAAGTGAATGCTTTCCTCCTCATATATTAGAGAACAGTTAGCAATTTTTCGACAATTTAATACTTTGAGATGAAAGTATCTCTTATCGATGAAACTTTTGGAATATTTTATGAATAATAAAATCTGTTATAGGTAAAATTGTCGATTATACTCCTTCGGCCATTTTTTTTCTCAGGAAACTTCACTCAAAGATCAAAGTCCATAGAAAGACAATACCTCGAAGTTAATACCTCTATACCTTTTTTGCTATTCTAGATCTGTTTCTATGCCTCATAGACGATCATTTTCTTGTCCGTCTACAATTTGGAATTTTACTTCTTCTTAAAATGTTATATCCAATATTTTAGCCACAGTGTAACCACAATAGCTTTTTTTCACTATGCTGCGGATATCAAACAATGAATTCATATATTCAATGTATGCTAAGTATGCAGTACAATTGACATCAAACATAAACTTTCTAGGCATACAATAACATTCAGACAGAACATACTAGATTCTTTCTCAGTATAACAATAACTGCACCAAATAGATAACGAATAATGCAAGAATGACCTTATCTATCTTTCATCAATAGCGTTTCTCAAATTAGAATAACTGTTTCCTGTTAAAGCTTTTGGTGAGTAACTAATATTTTTAGTCTTGGTTTGAGCTCTTTCGAATGTTACTTGATGGGAAGACAAAAATTTATTTTAGTAGAAGATTACCTGTCCTTTTTTAAGACCCCAAGTGCCGCCTCCTTTGAGTTCAGTGACTGGATGCTGGACGAGGTACTGTCGAGGTCGAAACTCAACATGAGCACCAATCGCATCACCCAATGCCATTCCGATCATCGAACCATGAATGCGATCCGTTATAGCAGTATCGACGTCATTTGGAGGATCTTCCATCTCTTTTTCAAGTTCATCAGGTCTCTTGATCGTTTCACCCTGATTGAGCTGATGATCGAGCCATGGTTTGTCTAAAGACATACATATGTATACAATAGACTGTCTCCTGTAAGTATCCAATAAAAAAGCTTTTTTCACCATGAACATGAAAAGATTTCAGTTTTTTCCGTTGAAAAGATCTTGATCTCTTACCTGTTTTAAATTGACATGCAGGATGTCTTTTTGATTGTTCAGACGTTCCTAAAAGATAACTAGGTGAAACTATAATCATAACAATGAAAACTATTAAATTCAAATCTTCTATTGGCTAAGTCACAACGAAAAGGAAGTAGGAAAATATGACACTTATTTCTATTGTCGATAGGTACCAGTGAGTTTGATTATCCCATAACATCACGTTTTCTATATCTCTCATTTTCATTGCCATTGGTGACCAATAATAGTATGGGGATCAATAGCAAATTGATTTTTTTCTCTGCTTTTTAACTGCTAGGTGTCGTACTTTAACTTTGTTCGCTGTTGACGTTTTGTTTTACATACGTATATGAAGGAAAAATATACTATTATTCGGTAAGAAATTTAAATTCTGACTCATATGCAATGCTAATGAAAAAATACTGATACCTGCAGGTTGCATATTTTGTTCGGTCTGCATTATAAAAAACTTGTTGACTGCATTGAATAAAATAACGTTTTACCCTGTATATTTTTTACGAGAGCAATTGAAAGACTTTATCTTTTTTTTCTTCTCGTTCTGGCGCACTTAAACGAGCAAACATTAAAAAGCATGTGTCCTTAAGGTAAAAAAGACTGATATAAAAAGAAATACGAACATCTTGCAGCGATGTTGTTTGACAGAGAACGATAAAATACTCCACTTGCCTTCCTTGCGCAAATAAAAAGTGAAAGAATGTAGAGAAAAAAAGAGACCATATTATTTCTTACTAACTGTTGTATCAAGAAATTTCAAACGACAAGAAAATATCAATAAGATTATTATTGCAAATATAAAAGTAACACATACATTCTAATAATGTTTTCAAATTTTTTTATGCTTTAATACAAGTTTCGAATATGTTATGGCAACAATTTTAAGCTGTTGGGATATATTTTTATCGCTACTTGAAAGGTTATCAACAGATGATATACAGACTTTTCACTTGATACTGACTGTGATCTTATTTGATGAACGCGACTACAACGACACATTGCTTACCCTTAATGAGTGAAAAATATTGAAGAGTGAAGAAACTAGTTGGAAGATAGAGATCGCAGACTCTTGGATGATTTTGTCTGTTTTCGAGACCCAGTCAGGATGTGGGTGTGAGAGCCATCGAGGCTCATCTCTTTACTCACATGTATATCGTCGCCCACATTCATACTCTAAGAAATTATTAAATAGCCACGTAGTACCAACAATTTGATCAAATTGAAATGAGAATGCACTATACTTTATTTTGTATTATTCAAACCTCAGACATGTTGAAAAACTAAAAAAAAAACTATTATTGATATTTGATGTATTTGTCTTTATATTTTTGCGTTGAAATTGTAGCAGTTCACGAGGCTTTTTTTTTTCGTTAAGAATCTTGTTGATTAGTTCGAAGAATTGCAGATTTCTTGGTTCAGTCAACAATGTACCGAAATCAAGGTTGTTACGTACTTGAGCGAAAGCTAAGTGCAACGAAGGTGAAGCATAGGCAAGACTACCACCGAGACCTAATAACGAAAAGAAATAGGTATATGAAATCGTATGATACTGGCATAGCCATCAATTTATTACTCTTAGTGACTGCTAACACTTGAGCTAGCATTAATATTTTAATTTTCCGCATAAGAACTCATAACTATACGGTTTTTAGTCTAATAAAAAGAAATAGGTTGAGTATTTTTTTTGAAAACTTTCTAAATTGAATGAGAAATACTAGTAAAATAATATGTCTTTTGAGGTCTCACCATAATGACCGAAACCGTCTTCGCCTAGTACTTGGAAACAGTCACTATATACTGCAAATTCTCCTCTTGAAAATTTTGTTTTCAAGTCAAAAAAAGAATCGATCGATCTCATCGAGTGGTGTCATATTTTCAGCAGCTAATGCCAAAGTTTTCTTGCTCAGAAGACAACTTTTTTTTGTCCATTTTCATTCACGTCGCCAATGAGCAATGCGTGAATTCGTGCCAACGTATGAGCATTCGACATGCCATTAACAGCTGGCAAAACAGCTCGATGTATTGAACGTTGATTGAATATTAAATCATCTGTATCACGTGATATTAAAGGAATAGCACCATTTCATGTCATGGCCTTTTCGGTGGAAGAATCCATTTGTGGTGCACTAGGACGATCTGATTCACTCTTAAAGATAAAAGAGAAATAAAAAATATGATCAATGATCTCTTATTTTTCAATTTTTCATAGAAGCCAACTGTCAAAACATAGAAAAGACTACGATAAAGATATTTAGATAATTTTCATCATCGACATAGCATTGATAGAACAGCAGATATTTTAATTTTCGATGAACTCCAGAAAAAAATCGTTCTACTTTAATCTACTCTAGGAAACAAAACAAAATAATTTCAACAAAAAACTATGAAGTTCATACTCATGTGAGTCATCACATAGTAAACAATAAAGAAAGACGTTTTTACTGATATATGACACCATCAGAGAGAAAATAATTTTGATATTATCTGATTATATATGAATTCATTCATTCACTAAAATTTCTAAACAAGTAAGAATCTAAGATGTAGCATGTTCCAGGAGTTCGTTAAGAAATTGAAAAGATTTGTCTGCTATCCAAAAATTGACCGTAGATATTAATCTTTGGGTTTTTATCGAAAAGAATAAGAAGAAATTCATGGCATCATTAGTAGAGCTTTGTGCACAGTTATAAATAGTATACATGCGCTATAAATCAAGTTGTCACTACAGATCCTAACTATTTAAGACGGTTTTGTCTCGCCCACATCACATCCGCAACTGCTTTCAGCTGTTGAAGAAATGATCAAGCTCTTGCGTTTATTCCATACAATACTATTTTATCTTTTAAATTATGACACATTAAACTAATCAGAGTTTTCAAGATAAAAAAGGATATATTGTCTGCATTACGAAAAAATTAGATGGCATCGAATATTCATTTAATACCATACTTTTTGATTAAATATGGTCAATGGTCACATTTTGTAAAGAAATGAAAATTGAAAAGATTGCAATGGAAGTTTTTCAAGCTTTGACTAATAAATAAACATACTTGAGAAACAATTCGAATAAATCGAAATCATTATGAAAAATAATAGAATTTATACCACGGCTTTTGAATACATACTTGAAAACTCACAGCTATTATTTTTTACCCAATGGGATCACAGTTCATCAAAATCGGTCAAAAACCAAAGTACCACACTACATACAATTTCAAGTTGATGTATTTTTGTGATTAACAAGAAAAAATCATCAAATGATGTGCGAGGTTTTGATCTAAACATGTAGGAGGATCGAACAAGTATTTAAGCATTCTCACTTAGATACCGATTTTGACTTTTTATTCAGCGATAAGGCTGACACATAATTTGACGAATACGATTGTATTTGCGTACAGGAAAATATTTTTCAGCTTGTATACAGTAGAAGATAGCCACTCAAACATTTAACAATAAAGTCCTTAGAACAAATATAATATATAGAAGAATACGAAAAAATAGAGAATAGAATATTCATCGACTTTTCTTGTTAGAGACTTCAGCAGTGAGTAAAAAGAAAGAAAGTTTAGATCGAGTGCCAGCTAGAAGTGGATATTAAATTTCGATGAAATTATGCCAAATAAATTCGTTTTTTATATATTTAAAATCTGAAGCGAGAACAATTTTTCGATCGTAGTCAAAGAGTTAGGTTTCTCGACCTTCTGAATCAAATACAATATGGTTCACGATTTTACAATCGTATATAGAATAACTATTTAGATAGTGTTTCTTACTTCTTCTATAAAGAGAGGAGCTATGAGCGCTTCGACTTTGTCATCATGTACTCCGATATAGAATTCGGGATCCAATCCATCATGAACGAATTGACTATAAGAACATCACTGTGAGTCAACTCGTTGAATAAGCTGGGCAGCCAAAAATCCCATGTTGTAGGCGTGATAGCCATGTGCTGATCCAGGTTCCCAGTAAGATTTTTAAGCAGCTAGAAGAGAAGTTACCGATTCCAGCCCAAGACATCATCTAGTGTAAGTTCTTGATCAACATATGGTAAACCAGCTCGATGTGCTATCACCAATATGTTCTTTGAAAAAAATACATGTGAATAGTAAAGTGAGTTATTTTTGTGTATGTTTAAAGAATAAAAATCTACCTACCCGCTTTCCACTGGCGCCGAATTCAGGCCAATACTTGGTTACCGGCGCTTGATAATCCAGCCAACTTTTTTCTACACACAACGCCACGGCTGCAGTTGCAACTGCTTTTGATACTGATAAAATGCACTGAAGAGTATCTGTTGTGTATAGTTCTTTCTTTGTCTTTGCATCTTTCCAACCACCAGTCAGATTTACTACACATTCACCTCGATGGTAAACAGACAGACTTGCTCCGATATCAACTCCTTGTACTAAGTTTTCTTCAAAAGCTGTACGCAAACTTTCCCACACAGGTGTAACATGGCCAAATATCTTAGTGTCATTTGATGATGAGAACATAATAGAGTATGTGAAGTGATTATCTTTAATAAAAATAGAAAGTAAATATTCATCAGATCAATTGATTTGTTGTGTAACGATTGCACAGTTGACTAAGAGTATTTATAAATATATATATTCAATCCTCAAAATACGGTCTTTACGATGAGATATCGTAGAATTTTATCTAAAACACTTCATTCAATGGACAAAAAAAAGTGAGGTTTTTGAGAAAAACTCGTTCGTTTTACGTATGTTCTGAAAAAGAAAACAAGAATCTTGCTAGTACCTATGAAAATCGGATAAGACGTATGTCACTTTACGAATTCATGAGAAATAAAAATCTCTTAGAGTACGGCACAACTTGCAGGAAAAATTCCTTTATTTTCCTTATATTTCTGTCTCGTATAACAAACCATTGAAATAGTATGTTCTTAATTACAATAAATTACTAAATGAACATGCTTGAGTATTTGTCCACCTCTGAAAATGATTGTGACACAAATCTTTCAATGATACAGAATATTTTTTTGAAATTCTGAAGCTCAATAGAACGCCTTTCATCATGAACTCTTGCAGTGGAACTGGTTTCACTTGGTCTTCGTTTGTGTTTGCCAGACATTTGCTTTCTTCCTTAGAACAAAACTAAAGAAAAAGACATTTCTCTCGAAAAAATCACCTTTTGCTTGTCGTACACTAAGTAGTTGTTATTCAACAGAAAACTGACTGATGCGTTGTTATGAAGAAGATAAAATCTTGTATCAGTTCTTAATACAAGATAAAAGTGGTCGTTGACTGTTATTATTGAAATAAGGTTACTAATGCATTATTAGTGAGAAGAAAATATTGTTACTGTATCTTTATTAACGAGAAAAAAAATGTTTGACACGGTGTCATAAGCAAAAAAAAAGCTTTGAGATTGTTATTGGGGAAACCAAATGGCTTATTCGCCATTAGTAAGGCAAGAAAATCGCACGTGCGTTTTATGAAGAAGAAAACAAGCTTATCGGTTAATATTTGGAAGATAAAATACTTTATGCGTTTGTTATAAAAGAAAGAAAATCGTTCATGCGTATTTGTTATAAGAGAGAAAAATGGTCAGAACGTTATTCCCTTGACTGAAGAGACAGTCATAAGCAATAAAATGAGTTTGTGTGTATGTATGATTATATGTTTGCTGGCAAATGTATGATGATCATGCGTTTCCATATTTTCCCGCATATTTACAGTGACTATTTTCTAACATACTTTGTGCTATATCTTCAACCAATCAACTGTTCTTCTTATCCAACTCTTGTTCAATGAGATGATTTCAGCTTCTAGCTATCATTCAATTCAGTTTTTTCGATTTTATAGGATTATTCATTTTAAACTGAATTTGGAAAAAAACATGCTTACGTTTGGCAAATAGTAGGGATTTAATAAATTTAGCAGAAGAAACCCGCTCATCGACACAAGGCTCAGGGAAGAGGATGTTACTAGGCATAACACATATTCCACAACCTACTCATGCAAATCTAAAGACAATATTATTTATTTCCTGAAATGTTTCGAGACAATCCTTACTAAAAAATAAGTCACAGGTAACATTAAACTTACGCCGAGACTGTTTTTTATGAAGCGCAAAACTGCAAAATACTTTTCTTTTTCATTAAGAAAACATAGTACGTACCTGCTTTCTTCACTAGACACATGATTCATGTTCACTGATTCATATCGTAATGTGTACACAAATGATTTGTTCTGCATGGATATTACAAAATGATTTTCGAAAGTATTTTTATGAACGAGAGAAGCAATGTTTTAAATTTTTAGAGCATTAAATTTCAAGGGAAAGACTGCTATTATTTGACTACAAGGAATGCATACATTAAACCATCCTAAATTTTTTTTGGGTTGGAAAATCTTCCAGCAAAACCACTCAAAACGTTTAAATTTTAAGATTCTCTCTCTTTTATTTGGTTGAAGCTTGTTACAACAAATTAAACTTCAAATAAAACTGAACATAGTTTGATATAGATATATAAGATTAATTTTTTCTTCTCATCTTTTCTTATCTTTTTAACTTTCAAAAAGTCTCTTTAATTTTGTATAACTTTCAATTTTGCCCAACACATATATTTCAAATGATTGATCGAAAAGAGGGTGTGGTCATATAAAGATAATAAATGTTGAAATTGATATGTTGAAAAACGATTACATTTAATCAGTAACATACTTCAATCTAGAATAGTAAAAATGATATGAAGATGTGACTGTTTTCTAAAAATATTAAAAGTAAATATAAAAATTGTTCTTCTGAAGTTGATCGTTAAAAATTAAGCTTTTTTGTCAATAAGTCAGTTTTACATCCTTCTTTCTGCATACGTGCAATTCAGACATATTCTTACATTAAGTAGCAGATCAAATACAGTAGCTAGTATAAGAGTGAAAGCGAAAACAGCAACATGACTAAACTTCAGTGGTGTCCGTGTTCTGTGTGACTTATCTTAAAACAGCAATATCAAAATTGATTACTTGAACTTTTATTTATTCGATAGATCTAAACACAATCTATATGTTAGTGTTCAAACTGAAATTAGAATAGACCAATCTCGAAGCCGATCGTCGACGCATTCAATATAGGATTGAGGTAGAAATTTATGTTAAAACGCGCAGTACTCTATATGTAGATGTTGGCGTCAGATTCTAATTATTGAACTGAGTGATATTTATGACATTTCAATTATGCAATTATCAGTTACAGTTTAAATCCACAAAGTTAAGGTCAAGTTTCCATTTATGCAGTCTTTGTTCTTAAAGCTCTCCATGATCTCGCGAATTCAAACCTAATTAATCAACTGATTATTGTATAAATTAAAATTTCATTGATACTTCTCGATTCGATAATAAGAATTCAAATCTAACATTGGACTAATCCAATCTGAAATCCCATAGTAAACTAGGTCAATCCACTATAAGACAATCTGAATTTGGACGCTAACATATACTATCTATTCAATTAGTGTGTGATTGACTGTTTTCTTTAAAGTGGGTGTGGGATGTGAGCGATTTCTTCTTCCAACCACACCCACACCTCACACCCACACACCGACATCCACACCCTCGAAAACCGATAGTTGGCCGGTGTGGCACTGCTTATTTTGAGATCTAAGGAACGCTCCATCATTTTCACTGATTTTTCTAGCTAGTTTAGTCACAATCGATCTTTTCCTATACTGGAAGTCTTTATTCTGCATTCTGTCTCTTGAACAGAATCACGTTATTTATCAATTATTGTTTTCATTTTATTTAGTCTCGAAGGCACGCTGTTTTATCGTTTAAAAATTTTCTTTTCTAGAACGAAGAAAGGTGTTTCGAAAAAGATGACAACAGCAATGGCAGCCAAATAGCTAAAGAACAATGTAGACACATAACTGTTGACAAGAGTCATTGGTTGATAATACATAGGGTTTGATTGATTGAATAGAGTGACGAAGATGACTGTCGAATGAATCAGATAAGCAGCATAATTCAAACGTGCTAATGGTGTCCAAATGGAAAAGGATAATATTCGATTGACAATACCACCTTGATTGATACTACACAAAAAAATGAGCCATGCAATCGAGATCGACCAAGCAGGTCGAGATAGGGTTTGATAGGTAATGAGTGTAGCTCGACTGAGACCAGGTACTAATACATAATCACCATAGATCGAAAAGATACAAGCTAAGGCAAGTGCAGTAGCGAGAAGATTTCCGATAAGTCGAACGAAACTATTCAAATGATAGGTACGACCCATATTGATAACAAGAAATCCAGTGAAAAGTCCAATTGCATAGGGTGAAATGCGACACCATGGAGTCATGTAGATTTTATCGAAGAAATTCGGACCTGTCTAAAAATGAGCAGCAAAATAAGTCAAGTCTCAGGGAAATCATTAGAAAATATTCTCGATTCACTTACCGCATTGCTTGAAATATCCAAAGCATGTGTGACCATACTTGGATAATAAAGAAGAAGACCAAGAATCGATCCAATACTAACTAATACGAAGAGTATTGTCATTATATATCCAATAGCTTTTATAGCTTTGTGTCTCATCACAAATGGAATTAATGCTAGCGGAGCAATCCAATGGAATTGCATATCATTGAAAAGATACCATGTCACACTGAGACACATATTATCGGATTTGAAAAAGTTTCCAATGTACAAAAATGAAGTCCACCAATGACCATTACGACAACCGGTCGATTCGAATCCTTGTTGCACTGGATAAAGAGGTCCATGACCAAAATAGGGTGTCAAATAAATACTGACAAACATGACCAAAATAAAAGTCGGTGTCAAACGAAGATATCGATGTATATAATAGAGAACCATCAATCGTAGTGAGAGTTGTTCTTTTCGTACTTGTCGAACGAAAAGAATTGCAGTTAAAAAGCCACTCAGAAGAAAAAATGTATCTACACTGAAAACACCACTAGTGATTAGTTGAAATGCGAAATTGCGCGTATTCGTAAGCATATCAATGATATTCGATGTGTAAAAAATGCCGAAAACAAACGTATGACCAAGGATAACCCAGAATAGAGAAAGAACACGAATACCATTGAGAAATGTAAACGAATTCTCGTTTTCTTTTTTGTTTATTTTAAAAATATGTTGTAGTGTACGAATGGCTGAAAATTCTCTCATAAATACGATGATAGGCATTTTTTGAGTCAAAGATTGTAATGATTGATCAGCTAAACTGTATGATACACTCTTGTTTGAAGAGTCATCCGATAAATCTTGATAGCCATTGATAGGTAACTTTTCATTCTTGTTCCACGTGATATACATATGAACAACAAGATCGATGATTGTTCCAATCAGTACAAGTAGAGCCAAGAGTGATAAAACGATACTAAAAGCAATAGTACCTGACGAAAGACCATTCTGTTCATTGGAACGATCATTTGAACATTGTAAATAATCTTTAGTCAAATTATGAACTTTGAATATCTCCTGGATGAGTGTGACAATTGATTGACGATTGCAAGATGCTGGTAGACAAAGGCCGAGAACCAAGCCAAAGCTCGGTACTAATTGTTCGTTAATGGGACTGGATTGAAGAGCACCTAAAGAAAACAAATTTACTTCTCTAAATAATGGATAAAGAAAATCGACATACAATATTGTGTGTCTATGGGTTGTCGAACGAACGATTTATTGTTTATTTGATAGAGTGGATTAATACATTCATCATAATTACCTATCCAGAACATATTTCCTTTCAATAAACCAGATGGTAGTGGTTTGCCCCAAGCATCGAACACTTTCATTGCCCATAATTGACGTTGAACTGCAGCAGTTATCAATATTTCCAAATCTCGTTCACAAGCAGTACTCTGATTGTTTGAAAATGATATGTTGGCTAAGAGTAGCTCCGATCGAATCGTTGCAATGGGCGTATTCACTAAATCGTTTACAATATCTGGATAATGTTGATAAAAACCACGCAATCGTTGGATGATTGCGTCGAAACGTAATGGAATCGTTTCGAATGTTGGTTCACCAATAATCGATTGTGGTACGAAAAGAAGTAAAACGAATATCAGAGTAGCAAACATCGTAATTATATCAGTGACATTGAAACACGAGTTACGAGCAAAGAATGATGAAAAACGACAAACTAAGGACAAACTTATATAAACTTACAGAGTGTTACTCATCTGATAACATTATTATTGACCGAATGACGTTTATTTAGAAATGAAGTTATCATTTGTTGTCGTTTATCTCTCATTGCTTTGCCCTAGATGGTGCGCACACCATAGCTCTTATCATTCATAATAAAAAAACGAATGTTTTGTTTGAATTCGGTTGACTTCGAGTATCAGTTACTGAGTAAAAATGAATCTGAAATAGAAGATGCAGTGGTAACCGATCGACTGAAAGTTAGATTGTGTGGAGTTTCGAAGCAGAAGATGGAGATATAAGTTCTTTTCAATATCTTTCTATCACTTCTGGCATATCAAAGTCATCATTAGGTATTGGTTGAAAAGAGGCTGACTTGAGAAACGAACAAACAACTGAATTTTCATTTGAGAAATGGTTCTACAAGAAAAGGAGAATATTATCAGCACTCAACGGGTGCCTTCGAACGTTGACCAGTTTACGTCATATTCATATCAAATACAAAATAGAACAGAAGTGACGAACATCAAAATAGATATCTAAAACATAGTTCCTGCAATTGATGATTACTGTATCTAATGGATTGTTTTGATTGAAATCGTCTATTTGTACTTCGAAAATGTTTGATTAATTTTCAAGTTGCTACAAATGTCAAAAATTTCATTACTCACATTTATTAAAGATGAAAATTCGCTAGTCACATGTATAGTTATCGATATGTCGTATATTTTTTGATAATGAGTTAAGCAGAAACGTCTACATACCTTTTTTTCAAACAATCTTAACCACCCACTCCATGTTCGATCAGCTAACTATTTTAGTTTGTCGATCCGTCCGTGATTTTCCTCTCGATAACGTACTCACCTCGAAACTGTGATGTATCGAACATTTTCGAACACAAATTCAATCAGTTTTCGATGTAAATAGATATGTTATTTTTAAACACACTGACAACTACACATTCTTCAACGAATCTAGTCTTTTTCATTGCTTTTGAATGAAGCGTAATCGCACTATGAAATCAACTAAAGAGCGTATAGATTTTCTTTTTTCACGCTCTTTTACAGAACAATTAAATTTTTTTATTAATATAATGTATTATACAGTTACAGTTCATCATCTGAACTGATACATGTTACGAATCAGCGTGAGGCGATTGAAGATGAATAATCCATTTACCATTGTTTTGGTTGAACTCACATGATCGAATAGAGTACATAAAATAAGGAGCGAGTAGATGCTCTTCTTCGTCGAATAAAGAGTAGGGTGAGACATCACAGCTATCGCAGCCACCATTGATGTCGATGACAAAAAGGACATTACCATATATTTCTGCCTTCTGTCGGTTTCTGCTGAAAACATATTCAAAAATAATGTCTCGATATACTAATGAAGATTTCATTGTATTAGTGTCAATCAAACAACGTCCAAATGTTTTTTTAATGAATAAGTAATAACATATGTGAATGCAGGAAACACAATTTGGTTGCCTGATGAAGTACCAACCGATTTTCGTCGATACTTTTCAATGAAATTATCACATTTTGCCACCGGTATACTCTCCTAAGTAGTACAGAAGAAGAGGAAAAGGACCAAAAGTAGCCACTTTGCTCTTCCGCAACTGCTCATACTCTTCATCTCCTTCAAGCCGCATGCACTCATTCAATTTCTTATAGAGAAATGATTCCGTAGTGTAAAGACGTGCACATATACGCCAAAATTCTACTGATGTTCCGTCTATGACGTTGAGAAGCTGTTGGATCATCCATTCTGCCTCACGCTGCTTTCCCACCTTCTTTCCTTCTATAATAATGCCTTCCGCTGCTTTTTTCACCATCAATCGACGATTTGCTGTGTTATGTAATGAGCTATTTATGTGCGTATAGCCAAAATCAGGCAGATTGAAAAGCAGATGAATTGTCGTACGAAAGCCCCCTAGAGAAGAAGGTCTAAAAAGAACTGAAGGATTGATAATGTTGGGCATGAATCTTTCCCATCTTAGTTTCTCCGTTCGTTGGTCAGTCAGCCGTTTCACGGGCCGTTGTTTGCCCGTATCGGAGTGAGATACTTGAATAGATTTTGTAAAGTAGATGATGTAATCGTCAAGTACAGCTTCGGGTAATTTTTTTGAAATGCTTCTTCAATGATGGCTGTTTCCACATCTGAGTAGGAACACCATTCAGCAGATTCAGGCGACCAAGGATCGGCATTTAATTTCCAAACCCACTGGATTCGAGATTGCGGTAAGGAAGTCAACATTTCTGAACACAATGAGAAGTTTTCAGCTCTCGGCGATATTCACAAGTAGAAAGAAGTCTAAGTCTAAATTTAAATATTCAAAATAAGTTATGGCAATGGCACAAAATTAAGAAATTATATAGCTACATCGAAAATTTATTATGACTGGCTGTGATCAGACTTCTGTTATGGTCACACTGATTTACAATCTTGATATTAAAAGACCCAATTCGGAACCCTTCAAGAAAAACACATAAACTTTGGCTCAACTCAATCAAATATAGCAAAAAGACAGTGAAGATTTACTTTGAATTATTTATTAAACAAATTTCTGATACATAAATATTCACACTGGATTTTGAATTTCCTTCACTTATTTTACATTAAATTTAATTATCTTTGACCTACACATGGTAAAATTTTCATTTCGAAAAACTAAAACATATTGTATTATTAATTTTGCGTATTCTTTGATCATTTAATATTTTGGAAATAATATTAACTTTGTATCAAAAAAAAAACTATATATGTACAAGAAAAAAGGCAAAATCATATACCAAAGTACTTGTTTAAATATCGTACATAAAATAGAACATGAAAATTCAAAAAAAAATGTTTCTTTAAGAAAGTCCGTCGGGTGCACCACCTTTTCGTATATCACAGTTAGTCCAATATTGATTAACCTCATCACGCCATTCAATACCTTGTATAACAGAACCACCATAAGCACTACATGTTATATTATGACCACGTTGTTTAAGTTTTTGTAAAATATTCTAAAACAAAAAAAGAAAAAAAGATATAAATCCTATTGTAATAGTTATAGAATTTTAATTGATAAATCAAGAGAAACACAATTTGTGTAATCCATTGATCAAAATAAGCAAGAAACTTTTTCGAAATTCAAATTTCTTACATAATCAAAACCTTGTTCAGCCATAACTTCTTCTGGTAATAATTGTGAATGAAGTCTTGGCGCATCAATTGCTTCTTTTATATTTTCATTAAACCATAAATTAAGCATTGCAACTTGAGCAACACTTGTAGTTATTTTAGTACCACCACTAGCACCTATAACTTGTTGTATACGTTGATTAGCATTTTCTAATAGAATTAATGGTGACATTGATGAAATAGGTCGTTTTCCAGGTGCTATAAAATTAGCTGGACTAGCTGGAACACCAAAATAATTTATTGTATGCGGAGTTGAAAAATCATCCATTTCATCATTATAAATAATGCCTGTTTCAGAACCAAGAACTTTTGAACCATAACTAAATAAAAATCATATTTTAATCGATATTAAAAAAAAAAAAGAAATATTATTCATACTAAAGATTAACAGTTGATGTCATTGCAACAGCATCACCATCAGATCCAACAACAGATATATGAGATGTACCTGTTTTGAGTTTATCAAGCCATGTTCCACCATAATATTCAAAACCGAATGTTTTATGATCACTAAATACAAAGAAAATAATATAGTGGTTGAAACTACTTTTTCGATCGGAAGACGATAGAGATCTATGTTTTCCATCACTCAAAAAAAGACATCGAAGAACATTTTACTATGATCATATGATTTATATAAAAACTGAGATCCTTGATATTGGTCGAATAATCTCAATAGTACTTTCAAAATGTCTTTGAAACCATAAGCAAACATCATCATTAGACTCAGTATCTTAATGCGTATTCTCGGAAAACTTGATTAAGTACTAGCAAAGAATTATTGAGTTCGCGAAAAAATCCTGAAAAAACATTTAATCGATTTTAACATGATTCTATGACCTATGCCATGTCCCTTTTTAAATGATGGTAACTGTAGATTCGAAAGATAAGCACAACATTTATATTATTTAATCCTAATAACACTAATTTAATATACATACTTGATGCGTGCTCGTATACTATCAGCATAGTCTTTTGATGTTAAATTGTGAATAAGCTAAAAGATTATATATATATATGTATAAATATATTTGAGAAAACAATTTAATTTTTTTTTACATACACCGGTGATATTTATTTTTGATGGATCACCAAGTTCACTTCGTTCAGCATAAGCAAATTTAAATGCTTCAATAAGACGATGATAAAATAATGCTGCAGTTGATGTTTTTTTTAAATCTCTTTCAATTATATTATATCCTTATGAATAGAAGACAATATATTTTCTTTTTTATAAAACAATTAAAAAAAGAAAATTTCATACCTCGAAGAATATTTAAAATAAAAATAAGTATTGGTCCACTTGATGGTGCTTGTGTTGTAAATGCAGTTAATGAATCATTAAGATTAACATGTAATGCTTCATTAAAATCGACTTGATAATTCGCAAGATCTTGTTTTGTAATAATACCACCATGATCTTGAATTTCTTTAACAATTTTATCAGCTAATATACCCGTATAAAATGCATCAACACCTTGTTCAGCAATGATTTCAAGTGTTGCTGCATATTTAGGACGTTTCATTATATCACCTGTTGTATATAATTCATTTGTTTTAGAATTTTTTACAAATTGTTCTCTATAATTAACAAAAAATAAATTCATTTTAAAATAGAAGAATTTAATAATAACCTCAATGTAGGATCGTTAAGAATATCAGATTTTATTTGTTTAATAGCTGCAGCTTGTGATGAACTAATAACAAAACCATTTCGACATAATTGAATAGTCGGTCGAAA